TGTTAGCACAAGTTTTGAAATGGTCCACAGATTTACAGGGTGTCCCAGGCTGAGCGTGCATCAGAAGTTTCTAGAGAACCACAATACCTAGATCGGAGATTTTTTGCACATCATTGTTTTACGAGATCTCGATTAAAAATATTTTCAATATGGCGGCACTTCCGGAAATACCGGAAGTTGACAGCAACTTTCTTATTTTAAATGTGTGCCCCCATTTTTTATTATATACTTAAATTCTCTGTAAAATTCTATGAATATTGATGTTAAACACTCTATACCTAACATTAACCGTTTTTGAGAAAAAAAATATTTAAAATTTTTGGACGAAAAAAACTACCTGTCAAAAAAATTTGTATAGCCTAAAAGTCAAATTTAGTGATTAGCACAGCCACTGTGACATAAAGAGAAAACATGTGGCTATCTATTTCAAAAATGAAATTGTTCAAATGTCATATAATAATGGCGGTAGCTGTCATGGAATTGAGCGATTAAAAATTATTATAAATCATTTTTTTCGAATGGAAACCCACTTTTTTTATTTCACTAGTGTAAAGGTTTTCCAGTTTGTTACTTTTTGAGTATACCTACATATCCTATACCTAAAATAAATCGTTTTCAAGTTACTTAAGATTTAGTTTAACGTAAAAAACGTATAAAACGTATATTTTTCTTGGTTTTATCTAGCTTCCCTTGACATTAAGTGTCAAACAGTCAATTTATTTCCATCTGTCAGAAAACGAATTATTTGAATTTCCTTAATGATAAATACCGCCTTCTGAAGAGTTTAGAAAGTGTATTTATAAAAATATATCTGGTATTTTCGCTCTTTCGTGATATCTAATAGTTGATACTGTATGATCGAAAAAACCGGCGTCCAGTTGGCTTGTAAATGAACATCAATGAAGTTCCCTATATCATTTTACATATAAATTGAGAGCGATCTTCATTTCATAGCCATCGCTGGCGCGGCTTTTTTTCGATCATGCGTTATTATTAATAATATACCGAGTAATATACCGTATCGTTGAAAAAAAAAGCGCAAAGTCAACAAGGATAACATACTGCTTTTTGAACAAAGTGTCAAAATATGGCCACATCTATTGTTGTCTATATATATATGTCTATATATATATGTTGTCTATATATATGTCTATCTATGTTTTACATCACTTGACATTTAAAGTCATAGGCTCCTTTAGGCTAGTTAAAATCAAGAAAAATATACGCTTTTAAACTAAATCTTAAATAACTTAAAAACAATTTATTTTAGGTATAGGAACATGTATAGTCAAAAAGTAACGAATTGAAAAGCCTTTTCACTAGTGAAATAAAAAAGGTGGGTTTCCATTTGAAAAAAATATTACTATGATACTTTCATCGAATCTACTCCGATTTTCCCAGCATTTTTGAAGTAAATTTACTTGCTATAAAATACGATACATTTACGTCAGGTATGAAAAACACTGATTACTGTAATTTTGCAACAATAATTGGTGGCCAAAAATAACCAACAATATTTGTTGTGATTTTACGACATTTTCATTTACGGTGCATAGCATGCATTAATAGAATGCGTAGTACTCGTTACAAAAAGTTAAATATCATTACTAGACAGATCTGGGATTGGTGCGAGCCCAAAAATATTTTTATTTTTGCCTCGTATATTAGGATAAACGATAATGTACGGGCAGATTTTCTCTCAAGGGATAAAGGGATTAACACGGAATATGAATTAAACCGCGAGGCATTTCCTAAAATTGTACGGGCAGATTGCTCTCAAGGGATAAAGGGATTAACACGAGATATAAGATTAAACCGCGAGGCATTTTCCTAAAATTGTGAACGCTTTTGGACAGACAGACATTGATCTGTTTGCCTCAAAAATTAACAAAAAATGTCAAAAATATGTTTCTTGGGGTCCGGATCCGGACAGTATAGCTGCCGATGTGTTTACCCTGCATTGGCAGTCACTCTACTTTTATGCTTTTCAGCGTCTTCTTTTACTAGATAGGGTATTAAACAAGATCAAAACGAAAAAGCAACGGGCATAGTGGTAGTGCCAAAATGGCCATCCCAGTTCTGGTATCCCTTATTTATTTCCCTTATTATTATATCCCTTATATTATCCTTTATTGTTAATTGAAGATCCGATCATATTTTCTCCAGAGGTGAATTTAATTTTATCTCCTTTCAAAGAAAAACACCCTCTCCATCGGCAGCTTTAAAAGTAAGGAGGATTCCCGAAAAAACAATACCCGTCCTATTAGATTCTGTGGCACCCAAGACTCTCCAACAATACACAATTTGTTATAAAAAGTAGTAGAATTTCTATCAAAAATTTAACTATATTCCTTCTGAATATAAATTTAATGAAATGTTAAGGTTTTTCCTAGAATCATCTGAATCGGGACTTTCTTACTCATCGCTTAATGGTTATAGAGCAGCCTTTTCACAAAGCCTTTTCAGGAAATCTTATATTCAACCATAATAATTTAAGTTCAAATAAACAGTTTTTGTGCGGCGTCTAAAAATAAACGTTTATTTGATTTATATTTCATCAACTCTCGGTTTGGGGAATTTGACAAAGAATGCATACCTAGCAGTTGCTTTTAATATTATATATTTTTTTATTATCGCAGTGGAATTTTTGTATTAGTCTGAACGAGTATCACGTACAAAACGTACACGATTTTATTTTCTCTATGTATTAATTAATTATTTCGGTTAAATAAAAATCACATTGTTCCAAGTTGTACCTTTTATTATCTCTAATATCTAACAGGTTATGGGCCCAGTTACGTCGCGTTAGCTCATCTGTTAAGAGATAACAAATAAAGGCTACCATTATCGCGATTTAGTAGTGTTCGCGAAAAGTGTGGAAAACCGGAATAATGGCGGAAGGTGCGAAATATAACGTCGAAAAGTTTGAAACGTCGAAAACGGACAGAACTAATTATCAGAAATAAACGCTGATTTGTGGGACGTAGTTTCGACTGCAGTACCGGCACAATGCTGTATATAAATTGATGATAGCTTCGAGATTCCAATGAAACAAAGGTAGCTACAATACAATCCAAAAATTAGCCGCAATTTAAAATTTGACACTGTGTCAGTATTAAATATTCCTTCTTCATCTTATAAACCTAAGACTACTGCAAGATCTGGTCAAATTGCTAAAAGACAACATAACACAGTAAGTTACTGAGATATTAAGGAGTCATTTGAGACTCAACCTTCAACTTCATATGAAGAACCTTATTTGCAATCTTGAACTAACGAAGAAAACCAAGCATCTAGTAATAGACCCATGATGGCTGAATTAACCAAAGCAAAAGAGACTAGAGACTAGGCTTAACCCCCACCAGAATTAATAATCCTGAGTAAGTTTAATGTTGTATATTTAAAGCAGTTTTAATGAAAAAAAACACATTTTAGGTCAAATGGACTTGATCAGTTTAGAGATAGAACTAAAATGTTAGAGAAGCAAAATGAAGAGCTACAAGAACAAGTTAGGGTACCTAATGAAGGATACTCTCCAGAAATATGAAAATGTGTGTTGGGGGATGTCGATAAAACTGTTCCCTTGAAAATTTTATTATATGTGACATTAATGATGTAAATAAATTATATTATTAGAGTGATTAGATTATTATGTAGTTGTTTATTGTATCATGATATTAACAGTGAATGTTTATACATGTTTTAGGCAAGAGAGACTCATTAATAGTGTAATATCAATTGATTTGGAACTATAATTATTATTACATAATCTGTTAAAATTAGCCAGTAAGTCTATTACTGGTCATTTATTATAATTAGTTAGGTTTTTTTGAAAATAAAACAGTTTATTTTACATTATTATGTAGTGATGTTACTTATATAATAAGTAGTAAGTCATATAAAGTCCAGGTAATCATTTTTATTTTTGTTTAAAAGTTGTTTACTTTTGGTATGTATATATTGTTAATTTAATTAATATATTAATAAAATGATTGCTAACAGCTATAAGTTTTATTTTCGTGTTTCTAATGCAGTTTAATTGTGAGTTGCAGGTTCAGTCTGTAACAAAGAAAAAATATCAGTAAAGTTATAAGTTGCTTATCTGTAAATAAACAAGTAAACCTTTATTAGCCCAACAGGACAAACCCTATGACAGAGCTAAATATAGTAGTTATTTCTCATCAGAAAATTCAGATAAAAATCAGTTACGAATGTAAAATGTAGCAACGAAAACGAAATTAGGCAACGATGTTTCTTAAACTTTACAGACATTTAAATTAAGTAATATTTCATTTAATATTTTTTGGTAACATGCATTTTGCATCTACAAGATATTAGACCTTACTGTCTTAATTATTAAATACACAGAACATTATATTTAAATAATATGAGCCAAAATTTAGGAACTTACCTTCATTTTTGAGAGTACACACAAATCCAGAAATGCAGCAAAACATCATTTTGTTTTAGGATTTTTAAACAAATTCTTTGGACTTTTTTCTTGGATATTTTTGTACTGTGGTTTATAAAAAGGGTTTTTACTTCAAAGTTGTACGATTAGAAGTATTTTAAAAATAGTAAAATCCTTTCAAAAATAAATATTCAGTTGCATGTAGTTAAATGTAACAAAACAAAAATTTGCCTGTTAATGGCGGATGGGCGGAGCTTATGCCCTATTGTCGCCACTGTCTTGTATATAGTCACTGTAGAAAGACCCAAGTAGTGCGATTATTCCGTCACTAATGTACTGAATAGGTGAGCAGGCGGGTCGATAAGGAGGCGATTATTTGTTTATATTACACATTCTTTAAAACTGTGCGTTGGCGGGCCGTAAAATGAGAAAACCAAACTAAACTAAACCTAACCTAACCTAACCAAACTAAACCTAACCTAACCTAACAAACTACCTGACCAATCCAACACAGAATTACTAAGCAACGATAACGACGCCGACGTAAGCAGCAATGATTTCACAAATGATGGAGATGCGTAACCCATAAATGAGCCAAGAAAATGACGGAGCACAAGAAAATTTATTGAGGTAATCAAATAAAATAACAATATTAAAAATTATCACTATAACAATTAAAAAAAATATATAATTTTTTAGAGAGCATGAAGCCCGTCTAAAATTAATAAATCAACATCGTTCTGGAAGCGTTAACAGTTTAAAAAAACAAGCAACAGAAATGTTACAGCAAAGTAGCTCCAAATTTTGCAAAATTGAAACTGGACAAATCGTTTTAGTTAAAATTCCTGATGTCGACAGAGGACGCTTAGCTCCTCGTAATATTTTGGCAGTTTTATCAGAAAAAGATGGTTTGTCTCAACTTGGTACATCGACTGGCGTTTTGGAAAAATTAGACGCAAGAAATCAGTGGCGGACTAAGCCTGTCGGGGGCCCGGGGCGGCAAAGCTAAATGTGACCCCCGGTCTGTTTAGATAATGATATACTTCTAATGCACATTTTGTAAAAATTGAATGACGTATCTATAATGGTTGACAAAATTCAAGTATTTATACAGGGTGTTCCAGGCTGAACCTGCGTTAGAAGTTTCTAGAGAACTGCACGTTAGAAGTTTCTAGAGAACTACAATATCTAGATATGAGATTTTGTGCATGATTGTTTCACAATGAGGTCTATCGATTAAAAATATTTTCAATATGGCGGCACTTTCGGAAGTACCGGAAGTTGACAGCAGCTTTCTTATTTTAAATGGGTGACCCCATTTTTATTACATACTTAAATTCTCTGTAAAATTTTATGAATTTTGATATTGAACACTCTGTACCTAACGTTAACAGTTTTTGAGAGAAAAAAAATATTTATAATTTTTGGAGGAAAAAAAAACTGCCTGTCAAAAATATGTATATAGCCTAAACGCCAAATTTAGTGATTGCCACAGCCACTGTACCATATAGAGAAGACATCTATGCCAGACTATCTATGTCAAACATTAAATTGTCCGAATGTCCGAATTAAATTATCCGAATGTCATATAATAATGACCGCGGCTGTCATGGAATTGAGCAATAAAACAATTATCATAAATCATTTCTTTTTTTTCAAATGGAAATCCACTTTTTTTATTTCACTCGTGTTCCGTTACTTTCGTTTTTAAAATTTGTTACTTTTTGACTATATGTACATGTTCCTCTACCTAAAATAAATCGTTTTTAAGTTATTTAAGATTTAGCTTTAAAGTGTATATTTTTCTTGATTTTAACCAGTAGCCTATGACAATATATTATCGATCATCATTTCCAAGCTAACTTTGCGCTGTTTTTTTTTCGATCGTAGGGTATATTATTAAAATATCAACTATTAGATATCACTAAAGAACGAAAATACGAGATATATTTTTATATAAATACACTTTTTAAACTTTTAAGCAGCAGTAGTTATAATATAGAAAATTCAAATAATTCATTTTCTGACAGATGGAAATAAATTGTCTGACTGTTTGACACTTAATGTCAAAGGAAGCTAGATAAAATCAAGAAAAATATACGTTTTCAAACTAAATCTTAAATAAGTTAAAAACGATTTATTTTAGGTATAGGAATATGTCTAGTTAAAACGTAACGAATTGGAAAACATTTCCACTAGTGAAATAAAAAAAGTGAGTTTCCATTTGAAAAAAAAATATTTATGGTAATTTTTTAATCGCTCAATTCCATGACAGCTACCGTCATTATTATATGACATTTGAACAATTTAATTTTTGAAATAGATAGCCATATGTCTTATCTTTATGTCACAGGGGCTGTGATAATCACTAAATTTGACTTTTAGGCTGTACAAATTTTTTTGACAGGTAGTTTTTTCGTCCAAAAATTTTCAATATTTTTTCTTAAAAATGCTTCCAGGGAAATACCGCGGCAAAATATCGCGATTTTGTAAGTCCTCCAAGATCCGAGGGGCCCCTTCGCTGTCTCAGACCCGTAGCCCCCGTTATACTAAAGACTTCACTGCTCATCATCAGTAATGAAGCTAGAATACAAGTTATGCTGTGCACTGGTTGTAATTTAAAATGTTTATTCAGTAAAAATAAATAATGAAACCATTGAAAAATACCTTAAAAGCTAAAATAAATAAATTCAGTCTCAAAATATACAGGGTCCGGCAATAGTGCGTCAGGCATCTGTAGCTCCTAGAATAAAACACTTGAGAATTTTGTTTAAGTGCAAACCTAAAGTATGTACTAGGATGTATTTCAGGAAAATATTTTAATTTCTATAGGGTGGCTGAAAAAAGTGTGAGTGGATCGGGATGATTTTTTTTAAATGGAACACCCTGTATATTATTGCATTTTTGGCTTCCTTTCAGATCACTTTACATAATCCTAAGACATGAGTAAATATATTTCGATATTTTCAGAGATATTAATAAATAAATAAAAATTATACATTTTTCAGCCTTTCTTAAAAAAAATATTAATAATATAAGGACTGTCCTGAAATCAGAACTATATTAGATATTTACTTTAGATGGTCTGTTCTTACTTTGCTATAAATATGGAAATCGTAAATCATACAGGATGTTCAAAATTCTACGCCAAACTTTCTAAAATATAAAATGATTTTTCTTTGTTTTTTAAATGGAACACCCTGTATATTATGTTTTCAGTAGATGGAGAATTAAAAAATGAACATTTTTTGCATTTAGAGTATTTCAAAATTTGTAACGGTTTGGCAGATATTCCCGGTTTTGTATTTCATATGGCATTTTCCATAATAAATTTCTATCAAAGCCACCCAATGATTTTTCTCTCGTATTTTACCATTGAAAGCGCCATATGAAATAATACTGCGTGTATCCGGAAAAGTATTAAAAATTTTGAAATACTTTAAATACAAAAAATGTTCATTTTTTAAATCTCAATCATTTAAAAAAATAATATACAGGGTGTTCCATTTAAAAAAAAACGAAGAAAAATTATTTCATATTTCTGAAAGTTTGGCGTAAAATATTAAACATCCTGTGTGATTTACGAATACCATATTTATAGCAAAGCAAGAACAGACCATCTAAAGTAAATATCTAATATAGTTTTGATTTCAGAACAGTTCTTGTATTTTTAATATTTTTTTAAGAAGGGTTGAAAAATATATATTTTTGATTTATTTTTTAATATCTCTGAAACTATCGAAATAAATTTACTCATATCTTAGGATTATGCAAAGCGATCTGAAAGGAAGCCAAAAATGCAATAATATACAGGGTATTCCATTTAAAAAAAATCATCCAGATCCACCCACACTTTTTTGAGCCACCCTATAGAAGTTAAAATATTTTCCTGAAATAGGATGTATTTCACATACGTTAAAGCTACATACTTTAGGTTTGCACTTAAACAAAATTCCCAAGTTTTTTAATCTAGGAGCTACATATGCCCGACGCACTATTGCCGGACCCTGTATAAAAAATATTAATTATTCGATATTTTAAACAAAGAAAATTACCCCTTGATTTAATTTCCTAAATAGAAAATGCCATTGACAATTACTGGGGCCTGATAATTGATAATTAGGTAAATATCTGCTTCCATTTATACTGTTTATAGTTGGCGTATACGTATGGTTTGCATACTCCACCTACAAACTGCTTTATAACTACTGAACACATATTGGCCTTGTTTGCCAGTTGAATAAAAAATTGCTTATTAAGATTCGGAGGCCCCCTGGGAGAGGGGGGCCGGGGCCGGGCCCCCCCCCTTTGTCCGCCACTGCAAGAAATTAATTCCAGGTTGGTCAATACCCAAGACAGTTGGATTTATAATTGTTTTTAATAACATCAACTTATCGATATACCAGTTAATACAAAATTCAGTTTGCAGGCAAATTGCTGCAAAAGAATCTAATTCTTCTCAAGGTTTTGTTCGATGCAACTGTCGTAAGCAATGTGGTGACAAAAAATGTAAATGTGTAATGAATAAGAGAAAATGTAATAGTAAATGTCATTCAAGTACTTCCTGTCGAAAGAAATAAAATAAATTGAAGTTAGGTTGTTTATTTATGACTTGATTGGCAACGGCACACAGTAGGCGAAGGCGGATGATACAGCGAGACAAAACCTCCTATTTTTTTAAAGCCCGTTTTCAAGACTTTATTACTGAATTAAAGTTAAAAAACTTTATCCTGCTCGATACATCTCGAAATAATTTCGTAGTAGGCTTTGATCATACCGTAAACAATTGAAAGTGTCAACAACATTTTGTGCCCAAGCAAGCGTCTATTTTGCATGTACAGGCGAAACAAAGTTGACACTAATTTTTGAGTGAAGTTATTATTAAAATAAAACATATTGTGATGGTTGAATATAATAGAGGTAAGTTAGCTTCAGATCATTATAGATTTCCATTATTATAGTGGTTGCTTAGTTTACACTCTTGCCTTTTTGGACTGATATATAATTACTTATTTTTTTCATAATTTTGCCAATTGATGGAGGTGGAAATACAAAGTAATCCAAAGTACTATTTAATTCTCATTTTAAATAAAACTTTATAAATCGCTCTTCGACATAATGTCAAGATCACTTGCCCGTTCTTGCCCGTTTAGCCATTTTTTAACGATATTTCACTGTTGCTGCAGTGAAGCTAGTCAAATCTTTTAATGCATTTGTAAAAGGAATAAATTCATAACTTTCGAGCCAAAGCAGATATGAACATGCGGTTTTCAGATTTATGATTAGAAAAATATGTTCTACTTTTTAGTATGTTTTTTTTGTTGGTAAACATTAATTGCGGATCCAAATGGCAGACTTTTTATTTATCAATCGATTTGTCTCAAATTTGGGGTATGAAATATTTTATTAACAGAGGTTTACAACTGACAGCATAAAAATAAAATAAATAAAAACATTTTTTTAAGTTAAAAGTTAAACGAGTTTATTAAAGAATTCCGCTAAAAAGTACAAATTATTTGCCTTAGCTTATGTCTCTGTTGAACAAAACAATTGTGCCACAATTTTATATCGAAAATAAATATTTAAACGAAGATCGAACTTGAAAATATATAAGATGCCATATATTTTTTTTCACCACTCATAGTCATAGGCGTCTATCATTAAATACCAATATATTTTAGGTTTCACAAGACAAGAACTCGTAAATGTATTACGAGAAAATGATAGACATCTGCCTTTTTCGAATGCGTCGAAAAAGTATATCAGAGACTATATTACTGAAAAACTAAATATTACAAAAAACGATAGCTCTGAAAAGAAATTAGAAAATATAATGAAACGTTTTCTAATATCTTTAAATAAAAAGTGGAATGAGTGTCATAGAACCTACACAAACCTAAATTCTAAACACAGATGATGGCTTTTAGGAAGACTCAAATTATTTCCAACAACTAATTGAATTGAATCTCAAAATTATTTCCAACAACTAATCTCGGTAGCAAACCTCAAAAACCTTTTTCTGAATGTTCAGAAAGGTCCAAAATACGCAAAGTAAAGGATCTGGTATCGTCAAAAGATACCGAAGAACTAGCTACAGCTACTAGAGTGAGCTTAAATATTTCCGGGAAAAGAAACGCAGCTCTTTTGGTAAAAAAGGCAACAGATCCAGAAGCCCAAGCTACACTAAAAAAATGACTCTGCTAATGCTCAAAATATTACGGATATTTTCACGCCTACAGAAGCTCTTGCACTGTTAATTGATTTAAATTTGAGCAAACATCAGAAATAAGCTGAAAGAAAAGGGCCACAAAAACCTTCTTCCGTCATATGAGATAGTTCGAGTTGAGAAAGGCAAATGTTATCCCCCAGAAGAATCTATACAAATTACAGAATCTTCTGCAGAGATTAAATTGCAGCCACTTCTTGATCGCACCACGCAAAGGATACTGGAGATACAAAAACTGTTCTGGAATCCTGTGCATCATTTGATAACCCTACACATCTAGAATTTGCCCATAAATGGGGAATCGATGGAAGTTCGGGGCAAGCAAGGTTTAAACAAAGATTCTCTGATGAAATGGTAAGCGATACAGATTTGATCCAGTATCAATGGTTCCCATTCAAGTCAGAGAAAAACAGCCAACAGATGACCATCAAAAAACAACAAAAATTATATGGAAAAATCCAAAATGCTCCTCTACAAAGTTTTGCCGACCTATAAGCTTTCACTTCAAGAAGGAAACCAAAAAGTACAAAAGCAGAAGTGGATAAAGTGCAAAATCAAATCCAGTCTCTAAACTCTACCGTTGTGCCATTTCATCAAACAGAAATAATAGTAAGTCATGTTCTCTTGCTTACCATGCTGGATGGAAAGGCTGTTAGCAACCTAACAGATACTTCTACACAAACCAGCAACATTTGTATGGTTACTCCCAAGAACATGAATAATATAGAATATGTTCAAAGCATAGAAACAAAACAATGCAATTACAAATATGGTTTGTCGACATTACATGCTCATATTCGTTTTTTTTTGAATGTTTAATCCACATGTTTCCTATTGAATAACCATTCAAAAGTGGCAAATTCGTGACGCGAAAGAAAAGCAAGAATTTGAAGCCAGAAAATCATTCATTATTGAAAAATTTAGACGAGAAACGGGTCTGTTAATAGATCTTCCAAAACAAGGTACGGGATCTACGAATGACGGGAATACTGCGCGGAGGTTTTTCCAAAATTATAAAAAATCAGCTGAAATAACGGGTATTGATGAAAGATTGATTTTGGGAAACTATGTAAACACCAACCCGCTGTCATTAAAAAGTAAGTCCCACATTACTTCGGCATGCCAATACAAAAAAGTATTTTATACAAAATATCTACAGGAACCAGCCCTCTCGAGCACCTACTGCAACCATTGCTACTAAATGAAGGGGAATTCTGCACCTTAAACGGAACAAGGTGTAATGTTTCATTATGAAACGGACAAACATCATCTTTATATGACAAAAATAGCGATGACGAATTTGAGCAAATTCGTAATGATCATATTGTAGGAGAACTGAGGTTCTGAGGGATTTGCCTTTTGAGTTGCCGTACTATACGTAGACGACATTATTCTAGCTTGCCCAAGGAATAGTGTTGACCAACTTTACACAGTTTTTAATTCCTACCATGAAAAAATTAAGTTTACCAAGGAATTTGATTGAATACCATTTTTAGACACAATGATAATAATTAGAAATAATGATGATACTCTATCAACAAACTGGTGGTTGGTTTGGTTGTTGGTTGGAGTTTTAAACTATCTCTCAGCACGTCATCACTCATAAGGTTTCAACAAGTAAAAATCTACTGTTTAGATCTCATAACTTAAGCAGTATGGAATATCAGAGGGAAAATATAGGGATTATAAAAAATATCTTAAAACAAAATAAATATCCAATTACGCTGGTTAACAAAATAATAAATCAGTTTAAGATTAAAAATCGAGAGCCACAACGTGTTTCAGTAGAGGGCAATAGTGTAAGATATTTGAAATTTTCCTTTGTAACTTTGTACGAGGTTTATCAGAAAGGGTAAAAGCATTTAAAGGCAAAATTTGTAGATTGTAAATTGTTCTTTTATAATTTGAAGTCACTGCAGTCACTTTATGCTAAGTTGAAAGATGTTACACCGATTGGCCTTTGCCCGAATGTTGTGTACAGAGTTTCGTATTTTGGTTGTGATAAGTAAAACGTTAGAGAGACGAGGCAATATCTAAAGAGGCGTATGTACTAACATAGTGATGACTGCGGTGATATCAATCGTAATAAGGCCGATAAGACTGCTTTGGCACATCACCATTTTTCAACCACGTCACGCTATTAATTTTACTAGTGTCGCTATACTGGACCAGGAAAGTAATTTCCTTAAGAGAAATTTGAGCAAGATGATATTTATTTCAATGAATAACACGATGAATTGTAGAACTGACACACAGAGCCTTAATATCATGTACAACCATATTCTTCAAGTGTTCATTTTATTAAAAAATTAAAACAAAATTATTATTTGTTAAGGGCGAAAGAAGCCTAAAAAATATCACGGGCTCGTGAATTCCACGCTACGTCACTGTTGGATGATATAACCTCCTTACCCAGTTTAGGAACTCTAAAAGAAGCTAAACATGAATTAGTCAACATGCAACACTCCGATAATGACCACATAATGACTATTTGGAAAATGAAATTCGAAATTTGTATGGAGGGATTATATTTGGTCTAACACTCAAATTCACGTTTACAATTCATTTTGCTCGTCAGAATATGCTAAGGTTTGCAACGACGCCGACGGGTAAAAAAATTAGCAAACCTTCTGGTGAAAAGAGTAGTCACATTTTTTATATGATATTTTTTTGTTTTATTTCAGAGCTATTGATCTGCATTTTCGCATTCTTCTGATATTAGGGATATAAGATCAATTTTGGAAGCCATTTTCACAGTAGTACTCAGCGATACGGAGGATCAAAACGTGAATGGAAATGCCAACTGATGCGAAATTTTGAAGCAATCATGGTTAAAACGGACATGTGCTACCGGAAGTGTTGAAGAAATTGACGAGAATATTATTAATTCCTCTAGGGAATCAATCATATCAGTACGATTTCATCGAACTTGATGAAAATGAGGAAAAGCAATTTTATTTGTAGACGCTAAATATTTATAAGAATTGCTTTGAAACAGTCAACAAAGGTACGGCAATTGGAGACAAAGGAAACCAGCAGTGTGTACCAGATTTAATGCTTAGTAGGCTAATTAATGCTTAATTAGGATCTCAAGCTGGGTATGTCACTGAAGTTCGTGATTATCTGGCTGGAGGTTTGAATCATTCATTGATATGGCAGTTTGGTGAGACGGTCGTACAACCATATTCTTCAAGTGTTCTTTTTTTATTAAAAAATTAAAACAAAATTATTATTTGATGAGGTTGAAAGGAACCCAAAAAATATTTGAACACGTGCCCGTGACTCCTTCGGTACGTCACTGTTGGATGATATAACCTTCTTACCCAGTTTAGGAACTCTAAAAAAGCTAAACATGAATTAGTCAAAATGCAACACTCCGATAATGACCACACGATGCCTATTTGGAAAATGAAATTCGAAATTAGTATGGAAGGATTATATTTGGTCTAACACTAACATTCACGTTTACATATCATTTTGCTGGTCAGAATATGCTAAAGTCTGTAACGACGCCGGCGCCGGCGGGTTAAAAAATTAGCAAACTTTCTGGTGAAAAGAGTAGTCACAGTTTTTATATGATATAGTGATTAGAAGTAATAATAGTAAAGATGAAAATCATAATACTCGGAGCTAGCATGTTATCTGAAAGTGAAAGTGCGGTGTTTATATATTATTCTTGGTTAGTCCATTTTATTTGTAATGGAGCTAGGATTCCTAGAGAATACGTAACAGATATGCCATTAGCATTAATTTATGCTTTCATTAAATTTAAGATTCTACTTCATGATATAAACCACTATTTTGACGTGATTTTCAAAACAGATGAGATAATAGATGGAAAGCCTGGTAACAGTGGAAAAGCCTGAAAACCGCAAGATCGGTTAAAATACTGGTTTTATTTCAGAGCCATTGGTTGCATTTTCGCATTCTTCTGATATTAGGGATATAAGATCAATTTTGGAAGCTATTTTCACAGTAGTACTCAGCGATACGGAGGATCAAAACGTGAATGGAAATGCCAACTGATCCGAAAAGGGGTTCTGTGACACTCGATGACCTGTCCATCAGTATCTTACCACTCTTCAGCTGTCAGCGAAGAGTTTAGGTCTTGTGCAATGACCTTGGATTGGTACCATTCAAAATATGAGCCACTCAGTACCAAAATTAGTGTTAGAACAATAATAGAGTTAGGAATTCAACCCATAACAAGGTCCCATAGTAAGTCTTAGACAATTATTATTAGTCTTTTCTGTAGAAATTTGAAACATAACATTCAATATCGTAAACGGATGTGGAATACACAGAACAGTTACTATTTGGCAACACAAAAATATGTGCACTATACACTAAGTAATGCTTTATATGGATTTGCAAAAGAAGACCGCAGGGGTAAGCTCATACCACCAAACAAAACAACAAGCAATTTGATTAATTCTGTTAAAACTTATATTCAGAATTTACCTGTTGTGCCATCTCATTACTTCAGAAAAACAGTTCGAGATTTTACTTACCTCAGGAGTTTAGAAAATATGAACACAATTCAAATGAATTTTCTTTGACCTGGGCACACCTATATACCCGTTGATTCGATTCGATTCATAATATAATCTGGGCTCCTTCGCAGTGGTCAACCATGATGAATTCTTTAGTTTAGCTAGAAAAAATCCTAAACCTTACCATGTTGAACTGTTGACTCGGATTTTGAGGGGTGAGACCAATAGGTAAAAAATATTTTAAAGGCAATTTAGTAGGAAAAATTAGCAAAGTGCGAATTGCCACTTTTAAAAAATCTACTCCATCTAAGATATTTGTAAAATACTTGATGAATACAGAGGCAAAAACAGAAGAAATAGAAGTATGCAAGACTAAGGAATTAGGTCCACAAATGATATATAAAGACTCGCTGCCAGTGTCGAAAAAAAATATCACGATTTGGTTACGTTATGCACCAACAAAACAATTCCTCGAGTGTATCATCAGGAATATTTGAACATAACGACTGCAAATAATATTAAAGATACTTTAAGTGAAACCGATATTGAAGACGCAGACTAATAATATTAAATATTATCTTGTTCTTCTGTTGAATAGTAATAGTAGTAAAATAGTATTATTTTCTTTGTTTTATTGTTAAGTTCAACACTAAATACCAACATTTGTTATCGTAGGTTCTCTTCCACTAACTGAAAATGGAAATAAATTTATACTTACCTTACAAGACGATTTAACTAAATATTCACAGGCCTATGTTATTCCTAATCACGAGGCGCTAACTATAGCAAGAAAATTTGTTGAAAATTTTATATGCAAATTTGGTATTCCAAAGTACGTTGTTACAGATTAAGGAAAATACTTTACATCACAACTCTTATGTGAATTTTCAGAATTATTTAAAATCAAACAAATTAATTATACTGCATATCATCCACAAAGTAATGGTGCATTAGAAAGAAGTCATTTACTCTAGCTGATTATTTAAAACATTATATTAATAATGATCAAACCGATTGGGATAAATATCCATTGCAAAATCTATCCAGATTTTGCAATGTTATCTTATAATACTACTGTTCATACTTCTACTAAATTCACCTCTCATGAATTATTATTTGGAGTAAAACCAAATATTCCATCAAGTTTGTTACAGTCTCCTGAATTCAAGTATACTTACGATGATTTTGTTGACGAATTAAAATTAAAACTTCAAAAATCTCATGAAATAACAAAAAACAATCTGATTAAGTCTAAAGAAACAAATAAAGTTTACTACGATAGATTAAAACCTGTTTGCGTTACAGGATAATTTTGTATTATTGGGTCTATCTTCATGGCTGCCAGTGTCAATATACTACTACACCCT